GCGATGCGGAACGACTCCGGAGCGCCAGGGCGCGACATTTACGCTGATTCGCGGTGCGGGAGTCCCGGCGTTCTGGCACGATTCGGGAACGTCAAGACGCATCAGCCGAATTTTCTCTTAGGGCTGAAGTTACGAGAACGGCGTTTTGGCACGCTTCAAGATCTTCCATCGCTTGTCTGCCGACGGTGCACTTCCCTGAATGAACCCTTGTAGGGGCGAGCTTGGAGGAAAGGTTTATTTCAACATCGTTGGTGAATTTTGGGTTTACGCTGGTCCTCCTCCTCCTCGTCTTCATCCTCCCACTCTCTACCCAATTCCCTCCCTCCCTTCCGTCCTTCCCCCCCCTCCCTCTCCCCATCCCCAGTCCTCTCCCCATCCCCCCAGCCTCGAGGAGAAGAGTCGACGACGACGACGACGACGACGACGACGACGACGACGACGACGACGACGACGACGACGACGACGACGACGACGACGACGACGACGGCGGCGGCGGCGGCGGCGGCGGCGGCGGCGGCGGCGGCGGCGGCGGCAGCGCGCGCGGGCGACCGCGACGTTTCCCCGAGGGCGGCGCGGCGCTCGAGGGTGCGGAGACCTCCCATCCCAGACCCCCGACGCTGTGATTTGTTCACGACGTCGACCCCCAGAGGTCGGGACCCCTTCCCCAGGACCGGTTTTCCATCCTGAGTCGTTTTTTGAAGGTCCCAAGGCCCAGGAAGGGCCCCCGGGGCCGAAAATAGTGAAAAACCTCCTGTTGTGATTTCTTCACAGCGCGAGGGGGTCTTGGATGGACTCGCCCCCAGGCCTTAGGTCGGGCCTGTCTCCCTACAGGCCGATTCTCGAGGAAAAGTTTAAAATAGTCAAAACAACATTCAAAAACTGACAAAAATGTTAGAAAAAATCCCCATACTATTTTTGGACCACGTTTGAATTCTCCTCCTGTAGACTCACGACTCGCCCCCCAGAGCTCTTCTTCGGCGGCGCGGGCGCGGGCCGCGCAGCAGCGGCAACGTCGTGGCGCTCGGCCTTCACAGCGCCGCTGTTGAGGCCAGCGCCGCCCAGAGGCAAGGCGCGCGAGCGTGCCGCGCGCGCGTGCAGGCCGCCCGCGGTAGAGCAGATCAGCAGGAGGACGAAGAGGAGGACAACACGACGACGACGACGACGACGAAAACGAAAAAGAAGAAGAAGAAGAAAAAGAAGAAGAAGAAGAAGCAAAAGGCTCGGCACTGCGCGTGGTCTGTGCCGTGCTCTGCTTGCGCGTGCAAACGCGCAAGCGAGCCCGACACCGAGCGATCAGCGACCCCGTGCGGTAAGGTTGAGCGTATCCTGAGACCCCTAAACGACGAGGACGAGGAGGATGCCGACGGGTACGGGGAGAGGAAGGCGAAGACGAGGTCACGGCAGCGGACAGGGACAATGAGGATGAGGTGGAGGAGGAGGAGGAGGAGGAGGAGGAGGAGGAGGAGGAGGAGGAGGAAGAGGAGGAGGAGGGCGAGGGGAGTCAGGGCGGAGCGGCGAGGGGGACGGGGACGAAGACAGCGACGAGGGCGAGGGGGCAGGGGGGACAGGGAGCTGGATAAGATGCTTGAGAGACGGTTGTCGGGAGCGGCCAAAAGGGGGGTGTCCAAGATGGGGGGGTGGAAATCATGACCGGCGGCACGTGCGCGGCCCAGCGGGGGGGTCAGGGACGCAATGGAATAAGAAGAGGCGCCATGAAATCTGAGGGAATATCATGGCCCCCGCCATGATATCCACCCCCCCCCTAGTCATCACCCCCCTCTTTGCCGCCCCCGAGGTTGTGGAGCGGCGTCGCCAAAACTGGGGGCCGCGTGCAAGCCTGGAGGAGGCAGGATCGAGGGAGGAGGACACCACGACGGGAAGAGCAAACAGCCAAGCCTTCCCGCGGGACTGTGCAGCGCGGGCCTCCGCAATGAGCCTGGTGGCTGCCGGAAAGGACGAGGAGGACAAGGAGGGGGTATAGACTTCTGCCTGTACAGATGCACACATACAGATATGTATCGATTAGCCACCACGGACCCCAAAAAACAGTTTGCTTCTAGCAATACATGTGCAATCACTGTGGAGCAATGGATGTGGTAACATCTGCGTGGTGCAGTCTATGTTGTGCAACTTTCGTTGTTTGTTGCACATCCATGCGGCGCTTGTTTGTTCGTGGTGCAATCGATGTGGTGCAAGCTATATTGTGCAGTAGATGTGGTGCATCATGTATGATCCACTCAGTGTGGTGCGCAATCTGTGCGGTGCAATCTTTGCGGTGAAAGCGACGTGGTGCAATTTGTGCGGTGCACTCTAAGGTGTGCAATCAATGTGGTGCAATCTATCTCGTGCAAGCGGCGTGGTACAATGTATGCTGTGCAATATACGTGGTGCAGTCTATGCGGTGTAATCTAGGCGGCGACGGGGCGGCGACGACGACGACGACGACGACAGAGCCGCCAGAGCGACCCCCACCCAGACGACGGGCGGCGACGAGGCGACGACGAGGCGACGACGGGGCGGCGACGACGACGACATAGCCGAAGGACCGCCACCCAGGCACAGACGACGGACTTTGACGAGGCGGCGACGGGGCGGCGCCGGCGACGACGTAGCCGCCGAACCACCACCCAGGCCGAGTTCCTTAGACAGCAAGTAAGAACCCCAGCTGCAAGCACGGTTTGGGGAATGCAGAATGCAGATGTATGTGTGTCTACATATGGTGGGGGGGCATTGGGCAAAGAACACTCAGAGAAGGAACCCAGGGGCTGGAAGCCGGTGGAACACCGATTGATGGCACCGAGGATGTGCAAGCCATGTGATGCACATTCGTCTCTGCCGCCGCTTCTTCGAAGAGCAAGTGCGCATCCTCGGGGCACCCCGGCAGGCGGCAACGGCCAGCAGCAGGCGGCAACGGGCCAGAACGCAGCGAATCCTCGGACCCCCCACTGGCAGCAACGGGTGGCAACGGGCCTCTCTCTGCCCCACGACGAACCCAGAGATCCGAGCGGCCGCCGCCTAGAAGAGTCACATGACTCTGATAAACCGCCAAGCTCAAGGAACCCGAAGAGGGGCAGAATGTTGCGAGTCCCCCGGGTACCCCCCGGGCGGCAACGGCGGACAACGGGCGGGATCGTGGCGCATCCTCGGAGCACCCCCTGCAGGCGGTGCTGGTAGCGGGCGGCAGCGGGCGGGAGCGCGGCGAAGCCCCAGGGCACCCCCACAGGCGGGGCAGCGGGGCGGCAGCGGGGCGGTTCAACAAGCCAGGTCGTTGCCAGTCCTCGGGGTACCCAGATTCCCCATGTTTTCCCACATGTTCTCGGTTTTTGGCTTCCCCCCACTTCCTGTATTTTCTTATTTTTTCGTGGAAATCGACGATTCATTGTGTCTGTGTGGTTTTTTCCCCGGTAACTCGGAGGCAAGCGAGGGGGGGAAGTCAAGCTAGGTGCGCTCGCGTCATATCTGACGTCCTACCCCTCCCTCCCATCCCTTACCATGGCGCTGATTTTCTCTATCCGCGGACGCGTGTCGTAGCGGACCTGTGGCTCCGCGCGCGCGTGCGTAGTGGGTGGTGGTGCACGTGCGTGCGTGCGTGCGTGTGTGCGTGGTTGTCATGGTGGTGGTGGTGGTGGTGGTGGTGGTGGTGGTGATGGTGGTGGTGGTGGTGGTGCTGGTGGTGGTGGTGGTGCTGGTGGTGGTGGTGTTGGTACTGGTGCTGGTGCTGGTGGTGGTTGTGGTGGTGGTGGTGGTGGTGGTGGTGGCGGTGCGGCGCGGTGGTGGCGGGCGGATGGGCGTGCGAGAAAAAGGCCCGCGCTGGGGCGCGAACGCCATCCTGAACGACGGAGGCCAGACACCGATCCGAAAATGAGGCCCACGCTGCAGCGGGAGCACGATTCGGAACGATTCGGGAGCAGAAATGAGGCCGGCGCCTCAACGAGAGCAGCATTTTGGGAAAAAATGACGCCGGCGCCTCAGCGAGAGTCGTTTCCCGGGATTTCCCGGGAATCCTGTGTGTAAAAAAACAGTACGCGGAGGGTGCGCGGCCATCACCCGGACGCCATCAGTGGAAGAGGGAGAGTATTTTCATATTGAGTAATTGTGAAAAGGAGAAGGCCTCCTCAGAGGGCGGCGGGGCTTCTCGGAGGCACTCGCGCCTTCCGAGACGCTTACCGCGTCTTCGGGGAGAGAACAGGGAACTGTTCAGAAGGCGGGAGGGCTTCCGAGCCTTCTGAGCAGGCTCGCCCCTTCTCACTTTCCCCCCTGGGCTCGCCGCCGAATGACGTAGAAACGCCATCAAAAACAATAGAGAGAGAGAGAGAGCGAGAGACAGAGCGAGAGAGAGAGCGAGAGAGAGATAGAGAAGAGGAAAGCTGGACCTCCGGCGGGAGCCAAAGCGGATGCTCGGAGGAGCGTCAGTGGAGGCAGCGACGGCGGCGGCCCTCCCGCCAAGGCCCCCGTCCGCACGTCCGCTGGGGAGGGGTCCCTCCCAGGGGGACCCCTCCGGGGGTCAATCCCGACCCGTTTCTCCAGGGGAATCCAGCCGCGGCGACGAGACGCCTCCAGGAGGCACACTGTGGACGAAAAGCGCCAGGCTTGCCATCGCTCGGACGTCCATTCCCCGTGCGGTTTCAGATTTCGTGCGTGCTCTTGTTTTGCCCCACAAGATGAGCCAAGGAGGTGCTCGCCCCCGCCGGGGAAGAAATGCACACGTCCGAGCGATGCCAACAAGGGAACAAAACATGACATAAACATAAAAACTCGGAAGTCCGCGCGGACTTCTCGGATCGGCGCTGGACCCCCCTCCCTGGCGCGCGGAGCGCGCCAGGGGCGGCGCCGGAGGCGCCGCCGGGGGGCCCCAGCGCCGATCCGAGAAATCCGCGCGGACCTCCGAGTTTTTATGTTTATGCCACTTGTTGTTCTCCTAGCCACACAGGGAGGGCCGCCGCGCTCGACTGGCCTTCCCCCGCGGTGCGGGGGGTCACCTGCAGTGCCCGACCAGAAGATTATGCCGCGAACGCCTCGCCGCCGCCGCCTGCCTCCCGCACGGAGAGAGATCGGGGCACCGCCGCGGCCATGATCAGATCTGAGTCGCCCGGCGGGGTGCCTCCCTCTCTGTTTGTTTCAATATGTACATATATACATATATATGTATATATAAACGCATTTGCACATACATAAATAGATATACACATGTGTATATATATATATATATATATCAGTCGAGCGAATTCCGCCATCCGTTGCCGACGCCTGACAGGCTGTACGAGACTTGGGGCGGGTCCTCCGACGGTCTGCCAGCGACGCAGCGAGCCGCACAGCATGCCACAGGCAGGACATGCAGGGTAGTCGCTGGTGCCCCTCCTCCTCCTCCTCCTCCTCCTCCTCCTCCTCCTCCTCCTCCAACTCCTCCTCCTCACCCTCCTCATCCTCCTTATCCTCCTCATCCTCCCTCTTTTTGACCTTGCGCAGACTTAAGGCAACAGCATGGAGCGATATCATCCTCCCCCGCCTCCACCCCTTCCTCCTCCTCCTGCACTTCCTGGTCTTCGTTTCTACTCATCCTCATCCTCCTCATCTTCATCCTCATCCTCATCCTCCTTCTCTACCGCAAGCTGGATTTGCCCGTGACGGCCACGGCGGAATCCACCCTGACGATCAATGAAGCATAGCAGGGCCCACAGCGGGCGTGGTCAGAGCGCTCATTCGAGTACAGCGGAGGAAAGCTGAAGTGTTCCGAACTGGCAGCGGCACCAAAAGTATTCCGTCTCCTCCTCCTCCCCCTCCTTCTCCTCCTCCTCCTCCTCCTCCTCTTCCTCCTCCTCCTCCCCCTCCTCCTCCCACATCGCCGTTGAAACTGATGTGAGACGGATCCCGGCGCAGTATCTGTCAGGGGGCTCCAGGGGGCCTCCCCCAGTCCGAGGCCGGAAGGAGGGATACCACGGGGAGGGAAGCAGGCAGGGGGAAGGGTGGGGGGAGGCAGTCACGCAGGCGGGCATCCCGCCTCGTCCTCTTGGCCGCACCTCGTTCCGAACAAGTGTGATAAAAAACAAGTGTGGGAAAAACTGATTCCACTTGCTTTTGTTATCACACGCGCTTTTATCACACTTGTTTTTTATCACACTTGTTCGGAGCATCGTCGCCGTGCCAGTGCAGCGCATGATTGCGATGATTCCCTCCTCGTCCTCTCGGTCGCACCTCGCGGGCGCCGCGCTGCTGCGCGGGCGCTCGGGCACGGCCGCTCCGACGTCCAGGGCCGACCGCGCGTGCCGGGGCGTGCTCTCCCTGGCGGTGCACGCCAGGCGTCATGTTCAAGGGGCCGTCGCCTCCCTCGGCTCCTGCCCATGCCGAGGGGTGCGCGGAAAGCTGCATCCAGAATTTGTTGTTGGACCTTCGACAAGCTTCTGCAGTCGTCTGGCATCTCTCCCCCTCCCCCAACCCTGGCGAGACTGCGTGTTGCCATCGCAGACCAGCAAGCCGCATCGAACAGTTTCGCGCCAAGCCCCTGGCAAAGCGCAATTGGTGGCAAGGCCAAGAACATAACAATCAAACGCATGGCATCGCCACCATAATCAACAACATAGTCGGCATCATCAGCGCGATCGTCAACATGTTTGGCGCACTCATGATGGTGAGGGTCTGCACATCACAGCCGTCGCATCAGCGCCTGCATGTGATTGGGTGCTTTTTGCTCTTTGCTGCCAACCAGGGCACCCCGACATGAATGAATGCGAGGCGCACCTGCCGCCGCCTCACAGAATTTGCAGTGGGGGAGAACGCGAGTGTATGCAATTCGAGGCCACGCGCGAGGTACGCTGCACAATCGGCACTGGGGCTGCAGCCAGCCCAGGCGCCGAGGAGAGCCCAGCTCGTGGCCGATGACGCTGCGGCTGGCGCTCAATGCATCCTGCTGAGCCGCCCACAGGATGGACGACCCCCGCTGACACTTCGAGACCGCCGCTCCGTCTCACACTGCCGCAGGCATTGCCTACCAGGAGAAAAAAAACAGCTGCATGAACACGAGCATCCGATAACTTCTGGTTCTCCGCGCAGGTTGTCTGGATCGGCGCTGGACCACCCCTCGTGTCGAGCTTGCGGGCTGTCGCGCTCGAGTGAACGAGCAGGTAGCAGTCGTCTCAGCTGTGCTTGCCCTCGGTATTGTGGGGCACGCGTCTGCGGAGGTCGCTTCGCGAGCCCATCGAAATATGTGAACTGCCTCTGGTACACTCGGCACTCCTCCGCTGGTGGTGGTGGTGCTGCCAGAAGGAACGCCAAATACGGAATGAAGGGGCTTGTCTGGCAACGTCTTGCCTGGGCCATGAACTGGTCCCCCGACCTAGATCTGCAGTCGGACCTGGGCTGGAAGAACATCCCTCGAGACCATGAGACCCACTGCCGGCCAGAACACGCAGAACATCCAGGGGTATCCCCCACAGAATGCACAAGAACATTCTGCAAACACGAAGAACACCAGGGTACGCTCCCCGAGCTGACCTCAATCACCGGGGGGAGGCACCAGCGAGGCCAGGGGCAGCAGCTGGGCCCAGCCCTGCAGCGCGGCAAGGCCTCGCCTGCCGCAAAGGCCACCCGCCGCGGTCCTCGGGGCCCGCCCACGGGTTCTGCCTCTCGCGCGCGGCGGCGCGACGGGCCCGCGAGCTGGCAGGCCCGGCTGGAGCCAGAGCAAGGCTCGCGCCGCAACCGCAACCGCCTGCGCGCCCGGGCGGCACGAGTCGTCCGTCAACGTCGCCGCGATGTGCGCAGCAGATATCCATGTTCCCCGCCTGCGCAGCGCCGTTGTCCTGCTCTCTGTCCTGGGACGGCAGCTGCTGACGGTCTGTCTGGTGCCCTGCCTGACTGCGCTCAGACCGTCAGCGCGCGGCCCGGGCGAGGATGGTGCGCGCAGCTCGCTGGTCCGACTGCGCCCCGCACTCAGAGGGCCGGCGCAAGGGCAATCGCAAGCCTCTCGCCGCCAGCACTCGGCCTTACGACGCTCGGACCTCTTGAAGATGACGGCGTGAGCGGAGCGCCAAAATGCGCATGCGCCCTTCTCCAGGCAGCGCCCGATAGCCATAATCATTATCAGGGGCCGGGAAGTGGAGAGGGGAGAGGGAGCGGGGGCTGGGGAGAGGGGGCGAAGCATGAGGAGGAAGAAAAACAATAATCATAATAACAACAAACAGAAGGAGAAGGCAGCGGGAAGAGGTACGCCCTGGAGACTTGCGAGACCTTCGGTTACCACATGAGCGCCACGCCTCCTCGTGATCCCTCTTCCATCGCCTCGTCTCAAGCAGTAAGGTCAGGTGAGGCAAACCTGTAGTGGCGCGGCCTCCTGTTCCTTTTCCCGTCCTCGTCCTCGTCCATGCCCTCGTCCTATTCTTCCTCCTCCATACCTTGGCATCCAACGATGTGTTTGTTTCATGCCTCGGGCCCAGAGCTCCCGACCCCTCCCCTGGGGAGAACGTTCCGTCGTGGAACCACTTCCGATTGTCCGCGTGCCCGAATACAGCGCCCAGGGGCCGAAACGACTGATTACCCTGTGACGTACCCAACCACCCATCTGCATTAAGTGGCACGAGGATCGTTACCCGGGGGGGGGGTCGGGCGGGCGGGTGACGGGCGGCCGCGGCGTGCACCCGCCAGGGTGCGTCCGCGCCGCCGGCGCATCAATCGCCCGTGCCAACCACAGCATGCAGGGGAGAATCCAGGCCACCCCATCCCCCCAGTACGATCGTCAGCGCTACAAGGGGGGGGTCCTGGCCCGGGTAACGAGCGATACCCTGTGGAGGAATTAAAAAGCGCCCACTTGTCCAGTGGCACGCTGGACAAGCAGCGCGATCCGCGCCATGTCGCTCTGACGCTCCAAAGGATAGGTTGTTCAGAGCTAGCGCAAGACGCAGAAGCGAGCGAGGCCGATCTCGTCCGCCAGGTTCTCCGCTTCCGTCCTGCATCTTGCAGCGCGGGAGCTAAACGCCCGCACGTTTTGTCGCAAGGTCTTCGAGCGACCCGCGGGAAAGGAAACCAAGGCCAATCTGAGTCTGCGCAGGACGCCACTATGCTGGACCCCCCAGCAGCCCTGACGAGTGGCGACGGTTTTGCAGATCACAGCCCCCCCAGGGATGGCGAAGTCTAATCTGGGTCTGCCGTGGGGCTTCACTCCGCTGGACCCCCAGCAACCCTTGAAAGTGGCGACGGTTTCGCAAACCGCAGCTCCCCAGGGATGGCGATGTCTAAACTGGGTCTGCTGTGGATCGCACCCCCCCCCCCAGGGATGGCAACAAGGTGCAATGCGAATCCCCAGTAAGACGTCACTCAGCTGGACCCCCCAGGGATGGCGAGGTGTTATCTGAATTCCCGGTAAGACGTCACTCCGCTGGACCCCCCAGCAGTCCTCCAAAGTTGCAACAGTTTCGCAGATCGCAACCCCCCAGGAATGGCGAGGTAACGCAGGACGGCATGGTCAGAGGCGAGCTGGCAGGTAGGTACAAGCCAGGTAGAAGACAGGAGAGAAGATGAGAAGGGAAGAGAAGAGGAGGGAGGCGGGAAGGAATGAGTGGCGACCGCAGTGCGCTAGTCAAAACGAGAACCCAACTCAGGAGGGTTGGGAAGAAACGCCCCAAGGATAAGCATCAAGTCCGCCCAGAGACCAGGTATCCTCCTTGGTGGAGGGGCAGGAAACGAGGACCATGACCAAGACTGAACGCAAACGAAAACGCCGGCGTCGATCTTGGGAAACGCCCATCCTGGCAAACGTCCATCTCGGCCAACGTGGACCATCCTCGCGCATCGGCGACGGCGGGGCTGGACCACGAAGGCGTCGCCAAGATCCCGCGACATCTTGGCCATGGCCATCGCGCTGCTGCCCTCGACTCGGGCTCCTCCTCCTCGAAGTCCCGCGGCAGCGTGCCGCGAGGCCCCGACGACCACACTGGTGCACACGGCGAGCACAACCCCGCAGGCTCACCGGCCCGCCTGCCCTCGCGCGAGGGGCGCGCAGCGCAGACGAGAAAAAAAGAAGAAGCACGGCCGAGTGCAGGAGGCAACTTCTGAGAGGTCCTCGCTTTGGACGCCCGAAGTGGGTACGGAAAGAATGGGTACGATGCCCAACAACAAGTGTTGTCCCAAACCAACAGCGGCCGCTGTTGGGCAGGCGGCCTCCGGTCTCCATTTCGTTCGTGCTGACTCGCAAGAATCACTTCTTTTCCTCTCACGCGCCCCGGATCGAGCTGCGAAACAGTTGGTCTATACCTGTGTTCCAGTTGCCATGCTGCGAGTTCCTCTTGCGGAACCTCGTCTACGGCGGACTGCCTCCCACACTTCCGACACAGCTCTGGAACGATGAAGGGGCGTGCTCTGAATTCCTGCGGGGTCGTGGGACAAATGAAAATAAATGAGGTTCACGCTCCCGACGATAGAATCCCTCGTATTGCATTGTGTTCGCGTCCCCGAGGCCACGATCCCTCGTAAATTGCGCCGCGCTGGCGTCCCCGAAGCCACGATCCCTCGCAAAATACAAAGTATTCGCGCCCCCGAGGCCACGATCGCTTGCAAATCACTCTACAGTCGTGCTTCTGGGGACACGATCCCTTGCAAATTACACCACAATTGCGCCCCCGAGGCCATGATCTATTGCAGATTACACAACATTCGCGTACCCGAGGCCAGTAACCCTTGCAAATTATCAATTTTTCGCATCCACGAGGCCATTAACCTTTGCAAGTTATACAAGTGTTGCGCCCCCGAAATCAGCAACCCTCGTAAATCATGTCCCCGAAGCCACCAAACCCTTGTAATTGCACAATGTTCGCGTCCCCGAAGCCAGAACCCTTTGCACATTAAAAAAACAAACGATTCGCGTCCCCGAGGCCACAAACCCTCGCAAGTTGCTCAATAGCCGCGTCCCCGAAGCCAGAATCCCTTTGTAAATTACCCGATATCCGCGTCCCCGAAACCACAAAGCCTTGCAAATTGCTCCATTCTTGCGTCCCAGAGGCAACAAGCCATCGTACATTATTCAATGCTCGCGTCCACCTGGCCAGAACCCTCGCAAATTACGCCATAATCGCACAAGGGTGCTCCAATGCGCCCGAAGGCGGTTCCAAGACGGCCCAAGAGGGCCTCAAGAGGCCCCAAGAGCACTCCAAGAGGACTCCCGAGAGAGCCCCAAGAGGCCAACATCGTCGACTTTACAAAAAGGTGTTGAAGGAGTTTGTAGTTCTCGCATGTTTGGCTTTCCGACGCTCCAAGATGGCTCAATAAGCTTCCAAGACCGCCCCAAGACAGCCCAAGACCAATACGGCCAGAGAGTGCTCCAAGATGGCCCAAGAAGCGCCCCGAGAAGCCCCCAGAAGGCCCCAAGAGGCGCCTAAGACGTGCCAAAGAGGCCTCCAAGAGACCCACTAGATACCCCACGAGGCCCCAAGAGGCCCCCAAGAGGCGCCGAAACCGCCTCCAAGAGGCCCCCGAAAGGCTCCCCACGACACCCCAACACATATATAAGAGGCCACGGACCCACAACCTAAACACGGTGGCGGGATGAGCCGAACGCCACTCGGATCCGCCGCCTCCTGTGGTCTTGCCACAGGGGTGCTCGGCGTGCTAGACGCTACCAGTTTTGGTTTTGATTCTTTTTCCAAGAAAACTCTCCCCTGGGGCTTCGGCCCGTCCCGCTGGCCACCCGGAAGGCCGCGCAATCGAGCGCAAACGAGCACAACGTCCGCAGAAAACGCTCCAAGACGGCTCAAGACAGCCTCCAAGACGGCGAAGATGGCCTCCAAGTTCGGCCAATATGGTCCAAGATGGCATCCAAGACGGCTCAAGAGATCCCAAGATGCCTCCAATCTCGTCCAAGAAGCCTCCCAGAAGGCTCAAGAAGGCCCAACATTGCCTCAAGATGGCCCAAGAGGCCGCCAACGCGCCCCACGAGAGCCCCAAGAGGCCCCCCAAGAGAGCCCCAAGAGGCCAAACTCATTGATGTCCCTCAGATGTTTGAATGATGTTGGCAATTGCTTCTTTTCGGCCTTCCGACGGCTCGAGCCGGCCCGAGACGGCCAAAGAGCCCCGCCCAAGAGGCCTCCAAGACACCCAAGATGACCTCCAAGACGGCCTTGGATCAACCCAAGAGGGCCCCCAGTCGGCCCAGAGAGGCCCCCAAGACAGCTTCCGACGGCGTCAGACGGGCTAGGAGCCCACCAAGATGGCCCAAGATGGCTCTAAGATGGCTCAAGGCGGCCATTAAGGCCCCCAAGAGGCCTCCAAGACGGCCCAAGAGCCCTCCAAGAGGGTCTCCAGGCCCGAAGAGGCCAAAATCATTGCTGTTCCTAGGATGTTTGAAGGATTTTGCATTTGCTTCTTTTCGGCCTTCCGACGGCCCGAGGCGGCCCGAGAGCCACCAAAGATCGCCCCAAGATTACCCAAGAGGCCTCCAAGATGGCTCCAGAACAGCCCAAGAGGCCCCCTAGACCGCCCCAGGAGGGCGACAAGACGGCCCAAGATGGCCTCCAAGACGCCCCCGATGGACTCCAAGACGGCCCTGGAGCACCCCAAGATGGCCCCCAGTCGGCCCAGAGAGGCCCTCAAGACAGCTTCCGACGGCGTCAGGCGGGCCAGGAGCCCACCAAGATGGCCCAAGATGGCTCTAAGATGGCTCAAGGCGGCCCGTAAGGCCCCCAAGAGGCCTCCAACACGGCCCACGAGTCCTCCAAGAGGGCCTCCAGGAAGGCCCGAAGAGGCCAAAATCATTGCTGTTCCTAGGGTGGTTGAAGGATTTGGGCATTTGCTACTTTTCGGCCTTCCGACGGCACGAGACGGCCCACGAGCCCAGATAGATCGCCCAAGAGGCCTCCAGGACGGCCGCAGAACGGCCCAAGAGGCCCCCAACACGCCCCCAAGAAGGCCCCCAGACGGCCCAAGAGGCATCCAAGACGCCCAAGATAGCCTCCAAGACGGCCCTGGAGCACCGCAAGAGGGTTTCCAATCGGCGAAGAAAGGCCCCCGAGACGGCTTCCGACGGCGTCGGACGGGCCATGAATGCCCTGAGACGGCCAAAGAGATCCCCGAGATGCCCCCAAAGGCCCCAAAGAGGCCCAAGGAGGCCCCCAAGACGCCTCCAAAAGGCCCCCAGGAAGCTCCCAGGAGGCCCCCAAAGTGCCCCGGCTCACAAGATGCCCCGTCCTCCTCTTCCTCCTCCTCCTCCTCCTCATCCTCCTCCTTCTGCTCCTCCTCCTTTTCCTCCTCCTTTTCCTCCTCCTCCTCCTCCTCCTCCTCCTCCTCCTGATCTTCTCCGCCATCCTCCCCCAAGTGTTCCCCGAAGGGTTTGCACAACGGTTGGGGGAACACATGGTCCGATAGCTTGGCAGAGCTCTTGTCACATCACTCGGACTCATGGGCGCTTTCAAACCTCTTGCTCCCCCACGCGTTCCCCGAAGGCTCTCCAAATCGACTCGGGGAACAATTGGCCCGATAGCTTGGCTAAACTCTAGCCCAGCTATCGGCCACATAGGTGCTTCCACAAGGGCAGGGGGCGGCGGTGATTCGCCTTAGGCGTCTTCGATAACGCCAACTTCTCAATATGCGCTGATGATTCGTATTCGCCCCCGCATGATGTTCCCAGAAGCGCCGAGACGCATCGACGCGACTCTACAAGGTCCCATTATGATAGAGAGGGGGCCGGCAGCAGGGGGCGAAGCCCTTATGAATAAACTCGATTCAGAGGCCATGCACCCGGATTGGGCCAGATTCAGCGAACAGTTACGCCTGATTGAGCCAGACTTAGCTGGATAGAGCGGGAGTAGGCCAGCTTTCCACCACGGATATACCACCGCCGATGCTGAATTGAACCTCCCAGGAGTTGCATCCCGACCGTGTGCAATCAACATGGGCATTAAGGGTGCAACGGCAATTTCGTGTCGCAACGACCTGCAGGTTGGTTTCTGCCACTGCGAGGATCGTTTAGCCGTGAAAGATCGCAGCTTCTGGACAGAGCGGATCGCTCGATGTCGGCCAGTTCCAGGCCACTGGCGGCGTTCAACCCTGAACGCTCAGGCGTTGCTCAATGGGGGAGCGATCAATGGGTGGGTGGGGGGGAGGAAGCGTGCACCTTTCGTGCCGCTGTTGGGTCCCAGGGGGCCCCTTCAGGCCTTGAGGACCCTACTTCGGGGAGCAAAAGGTGCACCTTTCCCCACCCCTCCCCACACTTGCCGCCCCCCTGTTGCGCACACGCCGGAGACGCCCGTGCTGGGGTCGCCACCGGGCCAACACGGCGCGAACCTGCCGTGCGCGATGCCCCCGTCACGGCAGCGCGCGGGCCCTGGCTTCTGCCACCGTGCGCACCGCGCCTGCGAGCGCTCTCGAGACCCTCGCGTGGAGCGGGGCCAGAGACCCCCGGAGGGCCTCGTCCTCGAAGGCCCGCGAGCTCTCCCGAGGGGGCCCGGCCCCACCAGGAGGGGCGCGTGGCCCTGGGGCGCCCTCGTGCTGATGAGCCTCGGGGCCCGGGGGCCCCCGCGCGGACCGACCAGGCTGCCCCGGGGTGAGCCGAAGGGGCGGGGTGCAAGGGCCGCGCTCGTGAGGCTACCGTCCGGAACTTGTGCTTGGCGTGTCGCGGCGGCGGACCCCGGCGACACGCTGTGCCGTGCGAGCTGGCAGTGCGCCGCTCTGCTCCACGGGGCGGGAAGCAGGGGGAGAGCTCGGGCCTGTGACGTTCGGGGGCGGCCCAGAGGCGGTCATAGCGTGCCGCGCCGAGGCGCGGTGGGCCAGGACCCGTGGCGCGACACGCTAGGCAAACGTTGCCCACCGTATGCCCCAGCCTCCAGGCGCGGTTCGACGGCAGGGCGTCATCTGCGCATGCCGGCTCGCCACAGGGCGTGCCCCGCCGGGCGCGCCGAGAAGCGAGGCGTGCGCTACGTCGCCGCGCGAGCGCTGGCGTAGGTCGCCGCGCTCGCGGAGTTAGAGGTTTGCAAAGACTACACGTCGAGGCCCCCGCCCCCAGCGCTGGCCTCACTCCAGCGCCTGGGGCCCCTCGCGCGATCGCCCCCAGCCCCCAGGGGCAGAGGCACGCAGGGGCCCCCGCAGGGGGAGGCGTGCGTGCGTGACCGTAGGCTCTGACAGCCCATGGACAAGGCAGTGGCCAGCCATACTGAAAACGCATTGGACCATGTAATTCGCCTGCCCCGCCAGTGCGCCGGACCATAGGCCTGATCAACGCATCTCAAATTCTGAAGGCCCGAATTCGATCGGAGGCGAGGCTGCCACACGGCCGCCGACGCGGCAAGCCGCCGACGCGGCGGCGCCGATCACTCCGCGCCGCCCCGCGCGCCGCGGCAGCCACAGGCCGAAGTGACCAGCGCCACGGCTGGCAGCATTGCGCTCCCCACGCCCTCCTCGGCGGAAGGAGGGAGCATCTGCACAGACACATACATGCATACATACCTACAGACATACCTACATACATACAGACATGTATATACAGCAATATGTAGATGCATGTGCACGTCGTGGTACATATATATGTATATATATAAATATATATGAGTACATCTATATATGAATCTATATATGTATATAAATACAGATGTGTGTACATTTGGGTATACTATATGTGTATATAAGTACATCGAGACAACAAACCATACGAAGCCCAGTAAGCAGCAACGTCATTTAGAAGCATTGGAATAGGAAGTAATAGTGCTAGGGATCAAACTAATAAGAATGACGCTGAACCTATGGACGATGATAATGTAAAATGGGTGCTACGGCCGAGACCAGGTATGCGTAACATCAGGAAAGACTCATCGTACGAAGAATACTACAACGAGAGATAACCATACCCTGGCACTGTACAAGGCGATCCTGCTTTTAATACACATGACAACATGATTGACCCGACCATGCAACTGTAATAATAACCACGATGTCAAGAAGTGAATACTAGCCATAATAATCATGAAGGGACACGATCGTGGTAAATATGCATGAGCTTTCGAACGCCCGCCCAGATCTCTGGGATCGGCAGTGGGCCGCCGAGCACAGATCCAAGAAATCCGCGCGGATCTCCGAAGACAATGAAGAGATGGGGAGGTTCCCCAGATCTCGGGGGGCTGGAGCGTCTTCAGTCCCCACGGTTTTCCATCATTTCGGCATCCAGGGTCGTTGGAGCCCAGGGCCCTCAAGAATGCATCCTGGATGGAAAACTGTCCGCAGGGAAGGGGTCGGGGGACCTCTGGGGCCGGACGGGGACAAAGGGAAGGGCCTTGAGGATCGAGTCTCGTCATCGCCCTCGTCGTCGTCCTCCTGCTCCTCCTCCTCGACCTTTAACTCGTCCTCGTCGTCGTAGCCCCTCCTCACCAGACCTCCCGTCGTCGTGAAAACATAGCCGCAGCTCTTGGTGCGGGTTGGAGTTGGAGTCTTATTGGAGGCGCAACATGGCCGGTCCTGCTGGAATGAGCATCAACATCAACAACAACACATGGGGGTGTTTCTACCGGGGGGAGACAATCTTATAGATTTTAGTGTCAGGGGCAATATTTCGGCCGCCTGAAACCCAACTATTCGCCGAGATCGGGACCAACTTATCTCGGTGGAGGCACATCGCCGATATTCGTGTTGGTTCCAACCCATAACCACCCGGAGCAATTTTCCGACGGCCCTGATCAAAGACCTACCGTCGTGACGCTTTGTCTCGACGAGGTGAGATCTGGGGAGGAGGGACGACGAGGACGACGACGAGCCAGGACGACATGGGCGAGGACGACGAGGACGACGACGAGGGCGACAAGGACGACGACGAGGACGACGACGAGGGTGACGACGGCGGGGATCGACTGGAACGAGGAAGAGGACGAGTGGGGTGCGGCCAGAGCCGCGCAGCGACAGGCACCGCCCTGCCACGAGGAGGAACCACGGCGACTGCAACGATGCCCTGTGCATGGACTCCAGCAGGGCAAAAGAGCCGGGGGCAGGATGACGAGATGGGAGAGCGAGGACGACGAGAACAAGGCTAGGAGGAGGAGGAGGAGGAGGAGGAGGAGGAGGAGGAGGAGGAGGACAAGGACGAGGGGGACGAGGAGGGGAGCGAGGACGACGAGGGCGAGAGAAGAAGAGGACGAGCACGAGCACGAGGAGGGTAGGAGGCTCCCCAGAACCCTAATGTCGCGACTTCTTCACAGCGTCGACCCAAAGAGGTCGACCCACTCCCCAGGACCGGCTTCTCATCCCGAATCGTTGTGATGATGTCCCAGGGGCAGAACAAGGCAAAAAGCCGCCCGTCGCGATGTTTCACGCCGCGAGGTGGTCTGGGTACGGACATGGATCTTCGGGTCATAACTCGGGCCTCCAGCGGCCGTTCAGGACGATTCGAGCACCCCTGGAACGCTCTGGGCGAGGCGCAGCTGCTGGAAGGCATCCCAAGGAAGGAAACCCTCCAGAAGCCGACGGAATCGTCAGACAATCCGTCCGCCGTGATGCTCTCACGACGCGCAGGAGACTGGATCTCGGCTCAGCTGTGGCCCGACCCGGGCCGCCCCGGTGCTCCAGCGGCAGGAGGCGGGCCTGGCTCAGCGCGGCCGCGAGCCGCGCGGCGCTGTCGACGCAGAGGGCTCCGCTTAGTCTCCTGACGGTGAGCTGCACGCAGAGAGCGGCCCTCGGCAAGAATGACCCTTGGTGCGCGTCTTGGCCCTGACTTCCGATCCGCCGTACTTTGGCTGATCATCCGACCTAACATGGAACCTGTGTCGGGAATGCACCCCGAACGATGCGAAGGAGAAGGGCGGAGCTTGCCGCCGCAGGCAAGCAGCGCGGACAGTCCTGCACATGAGCAAAGGCGGCGGCAGAGTAGGAGGGCGAAAGTCGGCATCCAAGGAGCTCGAAAAGTAGGGAGTGAATGTCGGCCATACTTGCAGGATCGCCCAAAGCACGGCGGATCCGAAGTCAGGGGGGGGCGGCGCGTGGAGGCCAAACCTTTGGAGTCAACTCCTCGGAGGTCTTCGTGGGAACGACGACAAGCCCGAGTGGAAGGGCCAGCGAACCTGAGTAGGCCGGATCAGGTAGCCGGACTCAGCCGGATCTCGCGGGTGGAATGAACGAGGATTGTGCTTGATTCGCCTGGCTTGCGGCCACCAGAGCCGGCGCCGAATCAAACCTCCCAGGAGTTGCATCCTCCTGATGTGGGAGGGGGCAAACCCAGGCGCACAAGCCGTTGCCGCCGCGTCGCGCTCAGCGATCGGAGGGCCCCGTGTGAGCCCGGACCGTGCACCAAGGGTCACCCCAGCGAAGAGTCACCATTATACGTGTGTGATCGATCCTGCGCGTGCTCGAAGGAACGCCCCCTCACGACCAGCCACAGCAGCCCAGACCTCCTCTCGTCGTGGACCGACACCGCCCCGACGCTCGTCGGTTCCGGGGTGCCCGAATCGTCCCGAACGATCGCCGGAGGCGGCCGAGCATGGCCCGATAAACCGAGAGCCACCTCGTGTCATCTGGGGAGAAGAAGCACGACGGGATGCTGTACCCTTTCCGACCTCCTCCTGGGCCCTCATTGGGCTGCCGGGGGCCCTCAAGAAGCGGTCCGGGATAAAGAAGCCGGACCCGGGGAAAGGGGTCCAGAACTTTGAGGTCGATGCCAAGAATAGAAAGGAACGACGTCGGAGACCTGGGAAGGGGGGCCTGCGCTCCGAGCTCCTAGCCCCTGTCGGCGGCGCGCGCAGGAGGGGTGGTGCGAGGGGGGTGGGCGTCTGAGAAGGCGAAGATAAAAGGTTCTCAGGAGGGGGTCGTTGCACAGCTCTCCGAACGCAGTGTATAGCCGCTGCCAGGAAGTGCCTGGGAAACCTGGTGCGCGCGGGCGCAGGCGGCGCCTGCCCGCGCGGCACGAGGGCTGGGGGCGTCCAGGATTCCTCTTGAGAAGGGCCCCTGGGAGCTCCCGAGAGGGCTTCTCGGATGCCACGGGGAGCTCCCGAGAAAAGCCCGGCGCCTGCTCGGAAGCCCCCTGCCGTCTCCGAGGGCCGCTCCCCCCCCTCGCGCCACCCCCAGCTCGCGCCGCCAAACATTGCTCATGGAGACTTGCGGACAAAAAGCGGCACGAACAGACTTTGCGTTACGCAACACGCCGTCGGGATGAGGACACAAGGTGGAGGAGGGCGTCCGGCGCCGACCCAAGAAGCCGCGCTGGCCTTCTGTTATCTCCATGGGCGCGATGCGAGGCGGGGATTTTATCCATATCCACCGCCTGGGGGCCCGACGTCCTGGTGCCCCAGCAGGCGGCGGATGTGGATATATTTCGGCCCCTGGGGGGCCGAATCTATCCATATCCACCGCCTGTGGAGGTCCGCGAAGATCGACCCCCCAGGTGGTGGTTATGGATAAATCCCCACCGCGGACGGGGGTGGAGGCGCGACCCCTCGAATCGACGATCTCCCCTGGCATCCGCCGGCAGGAGCGTCTGCAGAGTCCACGGCCCCACATGTCCCCAACACTTCCCCCGCGGGCAGTTTATCGTCCCGGATGCACGTCTTGTTTGGTGTCCCGGGGCCCCGAAAACGTCATGTCGTTCAACGAATGCCTTATAGCACCACGCCATGCCTGTGAATTCGGCGCCAGAACAAGTGGGGACCCTGCGAACGCCACAACCCGTTTGTGAGCACCATACATGCCTTTCAGCACCACGCCGCGCCTGTGAGCACAGCGCCGTGCCTGCTGAGAGGAGGGGGGTCCGCCCTCCCCCCCCCAAAAACGTACGATCGTTAGCGTTACCCGGGGGGGTGGGGGGGGGTTGGGCCCGGATAGCAAGCGTTTCCCGCCAGAGGGAAAAAAACGCTCTCTTGGAGATCCGGGCATGCAGATCCCCGACGACATGATTTGTTCATCGCGTCGACCCCGAGAGGTCTGGACCCACCTCCCCAAGATCGGAGGCGTCCAAGACTGGGGCGTCCAAGAAGGGAGGGCGCAAATCATGGCCGGCGGTGTGTGCGCGAATCTGCGGGGGGCCGGGAACGCATCTAAATCAGAAGAGAACACATGCATTACCCATGGCGGGCTGATTTTCAATCCCAGGACTTTGTGAGGGGCGGGGTCGACGTCGGGGCGGTGAGGTGTATATTTGTAATTTCCGTCTCCCGGAGAAATAACGAAGCATGTATACACCAGCATCCCGTGTACACCTGGATCTACTTTCCTGTGCAATTTTCAGTACAGGGCCAGAAAAAGCGTCGGTGCATAGAGTTCGGTTCCCTATCTGATCCCCTCGGCCCCATCGGGTGATGAAAACTAATCCCACCAGCCCTCTGGGCGTAGGTGGTCTAGAACAGATCCTCTTCCACCCCTCTCTCTTCCCCCTTGGGGAAGGGTTTACCCCTCCCCCGACCCCCTCCCCTGGACCTGGACGGAGGGTTCCTCGGACGGCTCGATTGGCCCCAAGATGGTTTCAATAGCGCGTCAGGATGGCCCAAGATGAGCTCCAAGATGGCTTAAGATAGCGCAAGATCGCTCGAGATGGCTCCTAAGATGGTTCCAAGAGGCCCAAAGACGGCCCCAAGACGGCTCCAACTGGCCAAAGGGCTCCCCAAGGAGGCCCCGAAAAAGGCCAAAATCGTCCCAAAACCTTCGGGAAATCAATGTGTTTTGCTTTCTCCCCGTTTCGCTTCCGATGGCCATCCAAGGCCTCAAAATGGCTCCAAGATGGCCAAAGAAGGCCCCACAAGAGGCCCAAGAGAGCCCCAAGACGGCCCCAAGAGCGCCCAAGAGCGCTCCAAGAGCGCCCCAAGAGCGCCCCAAGAGGCGATGCTTGGAGCTCCCGAGGGGGGAGGCTAATTAGGGAACCCCCCTTCGTTGATCGATCTCCTCCAAGATGGCCCCAAGAGCGCCCCTACAGCCCCCAAGAGCGCCCCAAGAGGCGCCCAGACGGCCCCAAGAGGCGCCCCAGAGGCCTCCAAGAGGCTCCCAAGAAACCCCCAAGAAGCCTCAAGAAGATCTCCGAAATGCATTTAAGACGTTTCTGGCTCTTCGGTTCGCCGTCCTCTTCAATTTCTCATCCCCCTCTTCCTCCTCCTCCTCCTTTTCCTCCTTCTCCTCCTTCTCCTCCCTCTGCTCCTTCTCCTCCTTCTCGTCCTCCTCGTCCTCTCCCTACTCCACATCCTCCTCCTCATTCTCCTCCTCCTCCTCCACCTCCTCCTCTTCCTTCCCCTCCCCCTTCCGACGAGGATTCCTTCTCCATCCTCCCCCTCTCGGGGTACGTGACAGCTCCCCCTGCCCTTTGTTATTCCGCATGCTCCCCAACTTCCCTGATCACCTCAACTCCCCTGGGCATCGTTTCTGGATGGACTGGCGGGGATACTTTTTTGTTCGGCGGCCCGCAAGGAAAAGTCCAGAGGGCGTGTCAGAAGGCAATGGGGCGCAAAGCCAGATAATTAGTGAAGGCCAGGCCACGACTGGAGGAAGCCGCCAAGAGGGCGCCAACCCACACGCGCGCAACATGCAGAACAGGGCAGCAAGCCAGAGTGACCGACTGTCCTAACAACAGCCGACCGGACCGGCAAGAGCAGACACTGCTCAGGACAAGTTCGGCAGGAAGAAGAGGCGCAATGCCAGATAACTAGGGAGGGCCAGGCCACGAACGGTAGAGGCCGCCAAGAAGGCGCCAACCCACGCACGTGCAAAAAGCAGAGCAGGACGACAGCGAGACCAGGCCAGAACATTGGACCGACTGTCCTAACAACAGCCGACCAGAAATAGAACCGGCAGGCGCTTTCTGCACAAAACAAGGAAGACTGGAGGGGGGGAGCGGAAGAGCGGAGCGGAAAAGAGGCGGACTCACTCACGGAGCACCCTGTGCTCGTCGGCGACCCGACACAGGTCCACTTCACGGGGAGCTGGTGGGGATACGCGAAGCGTCAACAATTGTGACGGAGTTGTTTATGTTTGTTGCTACTATTTTCGGCCCCTTTGGGCCATCGCCGGGCCCAGGGCCGTCAAACATCGACTCAGGGTGAAGAGCCGGTCCCGTCGGGGGCGGCCAAGGGGGGGGCGTACAAGAAGGAAGGGCACGCACAAATCATGGCCAGCGGCATGTGCGCGAACCTGTGGGGGTCTGGGAAGGCATCTGAATCAGAAGAGGCGCCCTGAAATCTGGAGAGATATCATGGACCCCGCCAAGACATCCCCCCCCAATCATCACCCCCTCTTGGTCGCCCCCAACGGGATCGGCTCTTCACGCTGCGTCGATGTTTGAAGGTCCTGGGCCCGGCGAGGGCCCCCAGGGTCCGAAAATTAGCAGCAACAAACATAAACAATTCCGTCACCATTTGTTTTCATGACCCGAGGGGGCCGAGGGGATCAGATAGGGAACCGAACTCTATGCACCGACGCTTGTTCCGGCCCTGTACTGAAATTTGCAAAGGAAAGCGGATCCAGGTGTACACGGGATGCTGGTGCACACACGGTTGTTTCTCCGGGAGACGGAAACTACAAGTATACACCACACCGCCCCGACGTCGACCCCGCCCCTCACAAAGTCCTGGGATTGAGAAACAGCTCGCCATTGGTAATGCATATGGTCCAGTGTTCGATCAGGGTCTCGAGAGGGGGTTTAGGTATGTTTTTTTTTCGGGGCTCCGGTCAGCGAGGAGAAAAAGCAGCTGCGGCTCCAGCTGCTGGTGCCCCCGCTGCTGCCTGTGCTGCTTGCGCTCCACCCTTCCCCTCGGCCCTTCAAGGTATGACTAACCAGAAGGACCCCAGAAGTATCCTTCTTTTTTGGGAAGATGCATCGAATCAAACCGCCCAGAACTATTTTCCCGAGTGCACATACGGGAACCTTAGTGAGGCTACGTCTTCCTCGCGTTCTTGGGGTTAGGGTATCTTGTGTGCTCGATGAATTTACCCCGTTCACGGGAGCCCCAGAACAACCATATTCGAGGGGTGCTCCACGCCGATGGTGTGGAGACCAAAAGGTACCGATATCGCTACTCCCTGGACCTCTCCAGGGGAGCGTTCTGACCAAGATCCCGAGGCGAATCCGACGGTGGCGATGAGGGCCTCCCAGGAGGCCGATAGAAACGAAAACGGGCGACGGGGCAGCGCTGTGGGTACCCTTTCCTCCTCCGAGGTGGGTCTCCCCCGAAGAGGGCGGGCTCGGGAGCGCCGCGCCCCCCAAAAATGAGCTGCGGCCGGCCACGGCCTCCGCCCGGGGCGCAGGCCGCCCAGCAGACGTGCGCGCACCCGGCCAGCACGAAGCACCGGAGGGCGCCGGCAGCCTCGCCAAGGGCGCGATGACTTATGCCGCAAGGATGGGCCGATGTTCCACCACCGCGACCATAGGCGGGAGAAGGAGGAGGAGGAGGAGGAGGAGGAGGAGGAGGAGGAGGAGGAGGAGGAGGAGGGAGGAGGAGGAGGAGAGCGGGAGGAGGAGGAGGAGGAGGAGGAAGAGGAGGAGGAGGAGGAGGAATGAAGGAGGAGGAGGAGGAGAAGGGCAGGAGGAGAGGAGAGAAGAGGGGAGGAGGAGGAGGAGGATGAGGAGGAGAAGGAGGATGAGGAGGAGGGAGAGGAGGAGGAGGAGGAGGAGGAGGAGCAGGGGAGGAGGAGGATGAGAAAGGACAGGCAGGGAAGAGGAGAAGGAGAAGGAGGAGGAGGAGGACGAGAAGGAGAGAGAATGAGGAGGAGGAGGAGAGGAGGAAGGAGGGAGGAGGAGGAGGAGGAGGAGGACGAGGAGGAGTGAGAAGGAGGAGGAGGAGGAGGAGGAGGAGGAGGAGGAGAGGAGAGGGAGGAGGAGGAGGAGGAGGAGAGAAGGAGGTGGAGGAGGAGGTGGAGGGACAGGAGGGAGGAGGAGATGGAGGAGGAGGAGGAGGAGGAGGAGGAGGAGGTAGGAGGAGGAGGAGGAGGAGCGGAGGAGGGAAGGAAGGAGGAGGAGGAGAAGGAGGAGGAGGAGAGGGGAGGAGAGAGAGGCAAGAGGAGAGGAGGAAGAGGAGGAGGAGGAGGAGAAGGAGGAGGAGGAGGAGGAGGGAAGGAGGAAGGAGGAGGAGGAGGAGAGGGAGGAGGAGGAGGAGGAGGAGGCGGAGGGAAGGGGATAATGAGGTGGGGAGGAGAGGAGGAGGAGAGGAGGAAGAGGAGATGGAGGAGGAGGGAAGGAGGAGGAGGGAGGAGAGGAGGAGGAGAGGAGAAGGAGGAGGAGGAGGAGGAGGAGAGGGAAGAGGGGTGGAGAAAGGAGAATGAGAGGAGGAGGAGGAGGAGGAGGAGGAGGAGGAGGTGAGGAGAGAGGAGGAGGAGAGGAGGAGGAGAAGGAGGAGGAGGAGGAGGAGGAGGAGGAGGAAGAGCAGGAGGAGGGGGGGAGGAGGGGGACCTCTACATTTTCCCTTCTCCCCGTCGTACCTGTGGCAGTGGTGGTGGGAAATCGGCCCATCATGTAAATCGAAGACCGACAGAACACCCTTTGTCAAAACACACTTTAGTTTAAGCTGCGAGGGGCACTACACGTGCGCACGGCACCGCATTCGGAATGGACTCCAGCGGGGTAGCTAACCGACGTCCAAAGACAAGTAAATGTGTCTGGCGAAACGCACGTCGACTAGCGAATTCGACTGTGGACAGCACCACTGGCACACGCGAACGCCAATGTCGAGTGAGCTGGCGCAGATCTCCTCAGTCGACTTATCTGAGTGGGCGTCCCCATGCCCGCGTAAGACGAAGCCAAGACAAAGGTCAACATCGGACGGGGAGACATCGGGGATCTCTGAGATCCGGCGGTTCTGGAGGATGCATCGGGCGCAGCAGCCTTCTCAGAGCGTTCTGGCACGCTCTGGAAGGGTTTATCCTTGTCCCAGCCCCGCCCGATGCTGTTTCTCGGCTCCTCGCGCTGGAGCGTCCACGGTTTGCTACAGATCTCCCTGGAGGTCCCTGGATGTACTATGATTAACTTGAGCGATGATCAGAAGCGATCTGACGCGAGATGGCATAGCGAGCCTACGCGGTGGTTTACCAGGATGGCCCGCTGCATTGGAAACGACGAAGGCACTCACGCGCGAACTCACGCGGGCAACATACGCGCGAATGCCGGTGCAAACGACCCCGTATTACTCCGTCGCTCACCTGGATGTAACTCATTTTCTCTGGATTTACCTCGATGTGTAGTACCTCGACGTGTCCAGCTTGATCCCCGCGAGTCGACTGGAGAAAAGTCGTCAAGCCCTAAAGGACAGCCTTCAGATCGGAGTAGAGCAGCATGCCCGCGCCCCACAGGACCTGGCAGGGGAGTTCAGCGTCGAATCGACAGATCGGATCGGATGCGAGCACTGCGTGGCGCGGAGTTATCCACAACCACCGCCTGGGGGATCATCTTCAGGGACGTCGGCAGGCGGTGGATCTATTTGTGGCCCCCCCCCCAGGGCCCGAATATATCCAGATCCTCCGCCCGAGCCCCACAGGACCTGGTAGGAGAGACAGAGATCCTGGCGTCGCACTGTTTCAGGACGAACTATTTCGCCGGATTTCGGCTCCCGGGACCATCACAGGTGGATCCAGGTCAAAACATGCAACAGAAAGATAGGTCTAGGGCTCCAGTCATGCTTCTGTCGCGATGTTGCAACTTATTTGGAACTTGTTCGGAAAATCCGGCATCTCCTGCCAGACCCCCCATCGAATCCACAGATCGAACCCACAAATCGGATCGGACTATCGAACCGCGCCAGAATGCGCAACAGCGCCCTGCAGAGGCCAGTGCGCACTGGACCGCTGGAATACATCGGAATCGAACTGGATCGGGCCTGCCGAAATCGATGTCGAATCGTTTCGATCGGATCGAAACCCGACCCCCCACGTCATGATTTTTCGCAACGGCAGCCCCCAGAAGCCTCGAACCATTCCCTGGAACTGGTGTCTCGTCCCGAACCGTGCTTTGACGGTCCCGGGCCGACAATGCAATGGCAGAAGACCGTCAGTCGCGGTCGGCGTGAAGAAAGTCGGGCTACACATGGAGCCGCATCGGCGATGTGGCGCGATCTTCTGGCCCCATCTGCTCGGAACCCATCTGGGAGGCCTAGACTCCAGGAGCAGACGAGACCGCCCGAAAACCCGACGCGGCCGCCTTTTTCCGAATGTTTGGACACATAATGATAGTGTAATCCGCAACAGTGCGTCTCGTCTCGAGCACCGCGGCTGGCCTTGTAAGTACATGGAAACATGCCCAAATAGCCTTCAGACACAGTTTTGGGAATGAGCTGCTCGCCAAGAAAATGCCACACTGCTTCAGATCAGAGCGAGGGGGCCGAACGGTCATGCATCGTCCCTGGGCGCGTGGCTGAAGTGAGAATCCGTGGTCAGGATTATGCTTGTTGCGTTGTTGTTGGTGGTGGTGTTGTTGTTGTTGGTGTTGTTTGTTGTCGTCGTCCCCCCCCCCGCAACCCACCCCGCGACCCACCCCGCGACCCACCCCGCGACCCACTCGCGACCCACCCGCGACCCACCCCGCGACCCACCCCGCGACCCACCCCGCGACCCACCCCGCGACCCACCCGCGACCCACCCACGACCGATCCACACCACATTGGTTTGATGCAAAAATCGGCGCCTGCGGCGGGCTCGTTGTATGGTTTGTGGAACTTTGGCGCCTGCGGCGGGCTTTTTCCAGAGTCTCGCAGACTGCCGACGTCCCCACCGCCCCCTCACTCTTATCCGCATCTGCGGGGTGCTGCGTATAATCCGCAACGGTGCGTCTCGTCTCGAGCACCGCGGCTGGCCTTGTAAGCACATGGGGGCATGACAAAACAGCCTTCAGACACAGTTTTGGGAATGAGCTGCTCGCCAAGACAACGCCACACTGCTTCAGGCACTTGGGTTAGGTCGAGCATGTCCCCCTACAGGCGGATTTGGGGCGAACAACTTAAAAAATACCCTAAAAATGCCCCGAAAAGATCAAATATACTCAGAAAGTGGTCCCCTGATTACTTTTGCAATACTATTGTTGGATATTCCTCCTGAGGAGTGACAAGCCCGACTTGATACTTGGGCCCGAGCACCGATCCTCGATCCTCGAACCTGACCTGGTGCGCTGCCGTCACCGCGTACCCCGCCGCCAGGGCGCCCCGGGCCCCGGGCGCGCCGAAGTCGGGCACCCCGTGCCGTCGCAGCGTCCGCCACGAGGCGGCCACCGCGGGGACGGCCGCCGCCAGGGAGAAGGCGCCGGCGAAGGCCGTGTGGGCCGTGGACACCTCGAGCGGGCGAAGAACGGCATGCAAGAAACTGATCCGCCATCGGGGGCGCCAGTCTCTGGCCCAGACACGGTCGCGTCGTGAAACAAAAATACAGGACGGTAGGTTTTTACTAATTTTCGGCCCCAGGGGACCCTCGCCTGGCCTCGGGACCGTCAAAAAAAGACTCGGGACGAAAACCGGTCCCGGGGAAAGGGTCAGGACTTCCAGGGACGCCGTCCAGAAAAAATCAGGACGTCGCATGTCTGGAGGGGGAACCAAAAGGTACTGATACTGATGCTCCCCGGACCTCTCCTGGGGTGCGTTCTGACCAGAATTTCGAAGCGAATCCGGCGGTGGCGACGAGGGCCTCCCAGGAGGCCCCAAAAACGGGAAGACGAGGGAAGGGTAGAGGTATGGGTACCTTTTCCTCCTCTGAATCCCAGGGCGGCTGGAACGTTTACGCCCAAACTGCCCAGCCGCCCAGGGACAGACGCCCTCGATGGCGCAGAGGCTTGATGTAATGATACAGTAGGAGCTCGACCACAAGAAACCTTCCACAAGAAACCCGACCCTGAGACCCCAGGACGTCCATTGATTTCTGGTGTGGGAGTGTCACGCGTTCCATCGCAGAACGATCGAAACCCAAGGAACCCAGGGCACCCTGGAGGCAAGCTGGGTGCTGCTTGGCATGGGCTTCCACTGTATACCGTTCAAACGCCCTGCCAACACCGTGCCAAGGGGCCTGGAGAGGCTCAGCGCGAGCCTCCACAGCTGGAGCGCGGAATGGCAGAAGATGGCCTCGCGGGGCGCCGTCCATACCATACCCTGGGATCCTGGCGTCGCAACTTTTTTGCTCCGAGCGATGTCTCCCAGTTCCGGGGGGCCCGGGATCATCACAGAGCGACCCGGCTCGAGAAATGCCGCAGAATGTGTCTACAGGGCCTCGGTCGCAATGTTTCACGATGTTGTGTTTGTTGCAACGTCGGGCCTCTCCGAATTACCGGACCACTCGCCCTTTTCGGGCTCTGGGGGGCCCTCGCTCGACCCGGCGCCCGTCAAAAAACGACTCGGGACGCAAAACCGGTCCCGGGGAATGGGTCCAGGCCCGTGGGAGGGCGGTGCGATAAAAAGACACATGACGGCACGGATGTGCGTCCATCGCTGTCTACCCTGCACCACCCCCGGACGCCGAGGCTTTTCCCTCACGGCGTGGGCGCCCCGGGAGGCCCGATCACCTCGCCAGTAACGGCGTTCCGTCCTGATCCGTTTCGTTGATGGCGCCAGGGTCCAGTAAGGGCCCCCAGAGGAACAACAACAGAGCTCGATGTACATATATATATATACGCACACATATGTATATACACACAAAATCCATCCATACATACTTCCGTACGTACGTACATACAGGCAGACAGACAGACTGACACGCACACACACACAAACACACACACACGCACAGACACACAGTCAGGCAGACGTACGTGCAGACACACACACACATACATACATACATACATACATACATACATACATACATACATACATACATACATGCATGCATGCATGCATGCATGCATGCATGCATGCATACACACATACCTTACATACATACATGCATGCATGCACACATGCATACATACATACATACATGCATCCATGCATACATGCATCCATACACATACATATGCATATGCATATACATATACATATACATATACATATACATTTACATATGCATATACATATACATCTGCATACACATATACATACATACACACACATACATTCATTCATTCATTCATTCATTCATTCATTCATTCGTACATACATACACACATACACATCCATCCATCCATCCATCCATCCATCCATCCATCCATCCATCCATACATACATACATACATACATACATACATACATACATACATACAACTTACGGATTCCTGTTTCTATATGTTTACCATCCGGGGAGGTGGAAAATCCCCACCCTGGGTCTCTCCGGTCCGTGCCCCAGGGGCTTCCTGGACGCCCGTGCAGAAGGCCCCTTGGTCTTTCTCGAGCTCCTGGAACCTCCTGCTGGGCCTAATCAGGCAACGGGCTCAAATCGGTCACTAGGGCGGCCGACCGGCGAGGGCCCAAAGAGCACCTACCAGACGCCCGAAGACGACCCCCAAATGACCCCCAAGTGGCCTTCGAAACGGAACAAATAATTCCCCATGGGTCTCGTATGATTTGGGAACTGCTCTGTTCTTCGGTCTGTCCGGGCGTCCGGGACCGCCCAGGCACAAACACCGCCCCAAAACTATCCGAGCAGGCTTCCAGGCAGTCCAATGAAGCCCCAAGACGGCCCCAGAGGGTCCCAGGATGGCCCGAAAAGAGCCCCATGACGGCCCAGGATGGCCCCAGTATGCCCCCCGAAGCAATCCAAATCGTGAGCTGGTCGCCGCGGTTGGAAGCAGGGTGACCCGAGGAAGCCCCCCAAAATCCCCAGAAGGCGCCCAGGAGACCTGCAAAAGGCCCCAAGGGGCCTTTGAAAAACTCTCATGGGGCCCCAAAGAGGCCATCCATGGAGAAGCCTCCGCTCAAAGAGCTGAGGAGGCTGGGGAAGAATTCGCAGGGCAGGGCGATGGCTCATGAGGAAGAGAGAGGGAAAACATAGGGGAACGATAATGAGTAGCATTATCAGATCGACGATGCCGACAAAGGCAACAAGGAGTTATCGCTAAATGTCAGTTTTACCTTCCTGCCCCTCCGCCTGCATGCCAAACTCCGTGGACCAATGTGCATGGCGCGACGCGCCAGGGGTTCTTACTGATACTATTGGGAACTGGGCCTGTCTGTCGGTCTCGCGGCTATGTTGCCGCCGTCGCCGCCACGTCGTCCCGTCGTCGCCGCCCGCCGTCTGGGCCGATCTGCCAATCTGGCGGCGATGTTGCCGCCGTCGACGCCCCGTCGCGGCCTCAATGCCGCCCACATAGATTGCACAGCACATGGATTGGACAACATGTATTGCGCACCGCATAAACTGCACCGCGCTAGCTCTCATTGGGAAAAAGAGGCTCCACCCGCCCCCCCCGGGATTATCGGTTCACGACTTCGTAATTGCAACTTACATACGGTTCTGCCCCATCGTCCATCCCAAATACGAGTTCACACCATCCAAGTCGAGCCGGTATCCGCCCCCCCCCTCGCCATCCTCTGCAAAACATACTACGCGCGCGCACTCGTGAATCCAAAGCCATCACATGCCAAGAATCCGCTCCAAAAAAAACAACGACGAAATGCACACGCGCGCGTCGTCACGCGTGCATGCCGACATCCTTCAAAAAGTTTCGGTGTCGTAAGGATTTCAAAATCGAGCGTCCCGAGCACATATACAAGAAACATTGTTTCGCAACGCGGACGTTCAAACAAGTTTGCGCGCGCGTCCTTGCGAATTTCCACCCAAAAAAAAAATTGGCCATTGTTTTTTTTACAAAATACCACCAAACGGGCTTCGCGCGCGCGTGCGTCGAAATCGTTCGAACACCCTTGCGCGCGTGCCGTCGTGAGAATCCTTTTGCAACACAAGTCGGACGAGGTGCGCGCGCGCACGTCGCCGCGCGCGCATGCCGACATCAGTCGAAAACCGACGGTTCCGCAAATATTCCAAAATCGAATGCCCCAAAAACATACAAAAACACGGTTTCGAAACACGAATTTTCAAACAATCGCACGCCCGCGTTCTTGCGAAGTCCTAAGAGAACCATCGGTTTTTCAACGTGCTCATGGAATTTCGTCAAACGGGCATCTGGCGCCGCATGCCGAAATCACTCGCGCGCCCTTGCGCGCGTGCGGGGGGGGGGGCACGATCCGCGCCACATCAAACCATGCGGGCTACTCTGGCGCGCCGGTCGCGAGCGCATGTCGAATTCCTTCCAGAACGTTCATCACCGACGCGAGGACGCGGTCATCGTCGTCGGCGTGATCAGCATCGGCGCCCACACTGGCCGCGCCGTCGTCGTTGCCAACATCGTCACCAACATCGCTACTGTCATCATCGTGTCTAACGTTGTCGGCGTTGACATGATACCGCGCGCCCAAATCGCCGACTCGCACTGACGTGCTGGCTGGGATGTGCCCAGCGGTCAACGCCACCGCGGCCGCGTCGGTCGCGCCACACTAGCTGCCCGTTGTGCGAGCGTGTTTGGGCCGGCGCGGCCGCAGAGATGCACCAGCCAACGCCAAGCACCAATCGCAAACGCCACCGTATGGGTTTGCAAACCGAGTTGCGGGTGGGTGGGGGATTTGTTTGCAAGAGCATGGGATGTGTCAAAACTTCCGATTAAATCAGTCGCACCACATAGATTGCACGATATGGACTGCATCGCACATAGTGCACAACACCTGGTCTCCTTTCTCAAATAAAAAACTCTAGGATCGGCCACCCTCCCGAAGCCGGGCCTATCACTACCTCCTGGGGATGTGCAGATCATATATGGTCCTGCCCCATCGTTCAGCCGACATATGAATACATACCATCCCAAACAGGCCAGAGTGCGCACCCCCTCCCTTTTCATCCTCTGCAAATGATGCAATGCGCGCGTACTCGTTTATCACAAACCATCGTGTTTCCAACATGACCCTGCCAAACAAAAAAAAACGCACACGCGCGCGCCGTCGGGCGCGCATGCCGAAATTATTCAAATGCTTGCGGTCCCGTAAAGATTTCAAAATCGAGGGTCCCGAAAACATGTTCTTATTTTGTCTACAATTACGCAACTAGGGCGTTCAACAAAAAATGCGCCGGCGCTTTTTCGATATTAGTGTTCAACATTCTCACCAAATGCTACCAAACGGGTCCTCGCGCGAGCGCATGTCGAATATACTCGAACGCTCTTGCGCGCGTGCTGTCCCAAGAACCCCCCGCAAAACAACATGAAGACAAGCACGCGCACGCGTCGTCGCTCGGGCATGCCGACGCCCGTCGGAAAGCGTAGATCCCGTAGGATTTTCAAAAACGAGCGCGCCGAATACATGTAGAAAACACACGGCTTTGCAAGAACACTTTTCAAAACCATGCCTGCGCGCGTCCTGGCGAACTCTTAAGGGGACCATAGAACGCTTCTCAACATTGCCATCACATGCTGCCAACAGAGTCTCCCGCGCCGCATGTCGAAATCACTCGTGCGCCCTTGCGCGCGTGCTGGGGGGAACGATCCGTCTCAACAAACAACCACGCGGGCCATTCGCGCGCGTCGGCCGCGCGCGCATGTCGAACCCCTCCCAAAACCTTCACCACCGACGCCAAAACATCGTCATCCTTATCGGCCGGCGTGATCAACATCGGCGCCGTCATTGGCCTTGTCGCCGTCATCGCCACCGTCGCCACCATCATCGCTACTCTCATCATCGTGTCTACCGTTGTCGGCGTCGCCATGGTACCGCGCCCGCCCACGTCATCGACTCGCACTGAATTGTCCGCTGGGATGTGCCCAACGGTTAGCGCCACCGCGGCCGCGTTGGTCGACCAGCACCAGCTGGTCGTTGCGCGCGCGGGCATGCGCGGGCTAGCGCGGCCGCAGAGACGCACCAGCCAATGCCAAGCACTTATCGCAATCGCCGTCGCCTGGGTTTTGCATACCAAGTTGCGGGTGGGTGGGTGGGATGTTTGCGCGATCGATGTAATTGACCATTTCAAGTTCGGCAGGGTGAATTTACCAAACAGGTTGCACCATAAAGACTGATCGACAGATACTGTACAACATAGATTTCACTACATCAATTGCAGCACGTTGCGCTGCACAGCTTGGATTGCA